GCTGTTGGATTCTCTATTTATTCAAGAATCCTGAAAAAAAAAAAAAAAATTCTACAAAAATATTAACACTTTTTTTAAGACTATAAAGGTTTTTTGAGCAGCAAATCAGCATATCAGAATAATTTCTCAATAGAAATTATGAGACACATGTGACTCATTTCTCATGTGAGACTGAAGACTGAAGTAATGATGCAGAACATTCTTTGCCATTACAGGAATAAATTACATTTTAAAATATATGAAAATAGAAACAGTTATCAACAGTTCACAATATTAATGTTTTTAAAGTACTGTATTTTTGATCAAATCATTTCAGCCTTGGTGAGCATAAGACATGTCTTTCAAAAACATTAACATCTTCCTGGCCGCAAACTTGAACGGTAGTGTAGATTACATAACTTTTGGTTTAGACCGTCATAGTTTTAAACATAATAATTGATACATAAAAGGCATTTGAAAAGTAGCCTGTAGTTGAAGAAACAAAGAGAACACACACACACCAAAGTACACAGAAACACGCCTGGGGCCGTATTCACAAAGAATTTTATCTTACCACTAGGAGTACTCCTAAATCGCACTAAAATATTTTAGCTAGGAGTTTTCTCTTAAAAGTTATTCACAGCGCCTTTCAGACCTACTCTTAGTAAGAAAAAATGACAACTCCTAAACTAAGAGTGAGTCTTCGTTGCTATGGATGACGTCACTTCTCAGGCACGAGCTTCCTCGCAATGATCACGGTGATTGGTTGTTAGATGACAGGGCCATCATGCGGAACATAACACAGACGCAACAAATCATGGAATTACGACATCTAAATATGTCTGTGTCCTACACAAAATAATAATAGTAATGTCATCGAAATGCATATATAATGACATGTTTGTGCAGGCCCCAGTGAAGTGTAATTCTAAAAAGGCAGAGAGAGAGAAAAGTCGTGAATTAAAATAAATTAAATCAAGGTAGCCTAATACCCTAATGAAAACCTCCACTTGCCTAATAATGAAAAACAACACTTGCATTAACACTTGCTTGGTTAATTGACATCCTATTAGCCTAAATAGACTACTTAAAGCAAGGAAATGTTGCTCTTATTGAAGTAATGTAATAGTTGAATGACAGTGGATTATGAAGTCGCCAAAACGTAAAAGAAAGCCCAACTGGACGCAGGATCAGTTACTGCTGCTGGCCGAGTTGGTGCTAAAAAAAAAAAAAACATAATAAAAGTGAAATTCGGCACTGGGATATCAAGCAAAACTAAGCGTGAGAATGGGAGATGATTTGTTTGCAGATCAATGCAGCATTCCCGCTTGTGTCGTTGCGAGAGGCGGTGGTGTGCGCTACGATCCTTTGTGAATAGGTCTTAGTGAGTTAGGAGTCCTCTCGACTTCTTTTAAGCTGTCCCAGACTTAGGTGCTACTTTTAGGGCTAAAATGCTTCGTGAATTACTCTTAGTGAAAAAAATTAGGAGTCCTAAATTTAGGAGTGACACGCCCATTATTTTTAGGAGTTGCTCCTAAATTCGCCAGTTAGGAGCTACTTTTAGCCTTAAAATTCTTTGTGAATACGGCCCCTGATGAATACTTCTGTTTGCCGTTCATGAACATTACATTTCTTACAACTAACATTTCATATGCCGCTAGAGAATTGAAATGCTGCAACAGCAAACATACATGCACATTTTACAAAGCGTATCCCACAGCATTTCTCTGCTTCCTTTGTGTTTTTCAGGTCCGAGACCTGACGCTGCTCATAGCCAGCTACATTAACTGCACACAACAACAAAAAGCAGCGGTGCACCACCTGTCGGCCCCAGCCCTGCTTCTGGCCCTGTCTGCAGAGATGAAGAACAAGGAATCAAGGAGCAAGTCTCCTCCTGCTGCCTGCAGACCCAGCAAGACACCCACCCTTCTTTAACACATCCCTGCTGGACCATGTGTGCTGGTGTTCACTCAGGCTGAATCTCACTACACTCTCTACTTCATTACTAAGTTATAAGCTAGTGCCCGCCCCAAAACCATCTTTACAATATACTGATTTACATCAAAGGGAATCTGGAAATGAAATGAGAGACATATCTATAAAAGACCATAAAGAGACATCAGAAAAATTATTTATTGATATATTATAGGACATAAATAATACAATTTAATGATTTTTTTTTTTTTTAAACATGACTTTAATTTTTTATTTTAACGTTTTTATCCTGTATACTGAAGCAACTTGGGTTTACTTGATTATTCATACACCTTTTTTTAGGGTTACATTTTTTTTAAATCTTTTGAAATGTTTTCATGTTATTGCAAATGTCAAATATGACACAACAGGCTTTTGTGGAACATTTCCATCTCTTAATTATCATTGATTTGCAATGAATATATATATATATATGTATATATTTGCATATATGAGCCATAAAACCCTGATATATAAATATGATACTCAACAAAAAGCACACATACAAGCATATACAATATATATATATATATATAAAAACAAGTTTGTATGTGTTTTTTTTTTTAGTATAATTTTAGACACACACACACACATATACATCAGGCTTTTATGGCTCATATATGCAAATCAATGATCATTAAGAGATGTGAAATGTTCCCCAAAAGCCTGTGGTGTCATATTTGACATTTAATGTCAATGTAACATGTCAAAATTATTTTTAACATTAAAAAATAATGTATGAATAATCAAGTAAACCCAAGTTGCTTCATTCCAGTAAATGTTTATCTTGCATTTACTTTATAAAAATCATTAATGAGTTCTGAGCAAAAATAACTTTTCTTGATAAAAAAAAAGTATGAGCTATCAATCAGAGGACAGAAGATCTGAAGTAGATTGTGTACAAGAGGTTTTTCAGCAAAGTTTTGGTCATACTGATAATTTATAGGCCCTAGAAATTTGCATATTAAATATGATAAAGTAAGCTAATAAATTCATATGAGTGATTAAATGTTTCAAAAATGTTCTAAAAATGTTGTAACACGCATTGCCAAACAAGCATTCTTTTTTCAATTAATTTATACCGTATTCTGGGGGTGACGTATTCTGGGGGATACAAACATTTACAGGCAGATTACACAAATATTTAAAATTAAATTAATAAAATTTCAACATAAACGTAATAAGCATGTTGACAGTAGTCCTCAACATAAAAATGAGTGAGATTTCATGTCCACGTCATGTTCCGCTCCAATATAATAATAAAAAAATATATATTTTGGAAATGAAAATGAAGCCTTTTTTTGAATTGTAATATTATTTGTACGATTGTCAGATTGTCATTAACATATTTTTTCCCTAACAATTTTTTTTTTTTTTTTTTTTTATTCACATTATCTCAATAGTAATCGCACTATATACAGTTGTGGTCCGAATTATTGGCACCCCTGGTAAATATGATCAAACATGGCTTTAAAAATAAATCTGCATTGTTTATCCTTTTGATATTTCATTAAAAAAATTCACAAAACTCTACCCTTTTATTGAAGTAAAAAAAAGTGGGGGGGAAATTCCATTGGCCACAATTATTGGCACCCCTAGAATTTTTCCTAGAGCAAAATAAAAATATCACATAAATATGAGGAAACTCAAAGGCCAAATTCCCTTAATCATCCATCACAATGAGGAAAACCAAAGAATATAGTTATGATGTGCAGCAGAAGATTGCTGAGCTTCACAAAATATAAAGTGGCTGTAAGAAAATAGCTAAAGAATTGAAAATCCCCATTTCCACCATCAGGGCAAAAATTAAGAAACTCCAATTAACTAAAGATGTTGTGAATCTGCCAGGAAGAGGATGTGTGTCTATATTGTCTCAATGCACGGTGAGGAGGAAAGTTTGAGTGGCCTAAGACTCTCCAAGGATCCCAGATGGAGAATTGCAGAGATTAGATGAGTTTGGGGGACAAAAAGCCTTAAAAAAAAAAAAACCTACATCCTACATGTTGTTTGGGAGGGTTTCAAGAAATATCCATCCTGGAGGTCCTAGAAATCTTGTTCAAATACATGGTATCATGGATTCTAGCAAATACCAACAGATAAAAAATCAAAACCTGACGGCCTGTGCTAGAAATCTTATAATGGGCCGTGGTTGGATCTTCCATCAGGACAACGATCCAAAACAAACATCAAAATCAACACAAAAATGGGTCACTGAGCACAAAAGAAAGCTTCAGCGATGACCATCCCAGTCCCTGACCTGAACCCTATAGAAGATGAGTGGGCTAAACTGAAGAGAAGAAGCGTCAACATGGATCTGGGAATCTGAAGGATCTGGAGAGATTCTGTATGCAGGAATGGTCTCTGATCTCTTGTCAGGTGTTCTCCAAACTCATCAGGCATTATAGGAGAAAACTCAGAGCTGTTATCTTGGCAAAAGGAGTTTGCAAAAAGGCAATAATTAATAAAAGCGTGCCAATAATTATGGCCAATGTATTTTGGAGAAAAACATTTATTTCATAATGTGATTACAATTCATTTACTTCAATAAAAGGTTAAGAGTTTTGCCCTTTTTTTTAATAAAAGATCAAAAGGATAAAGAATGCAGATTTATTTTTTACAGCCATCTTTGATCATATTGATCAGGGGTGCAAATAATTCTGACCACAACTGTATATATACGTGTGTGTGTGTGTGTGTGTGCATACATAGCATACATACTCATATGTAGGCTATGCTATTTAAAACAGCATAATTTAAACACTTTCTGTACAGTATTGTTGCTTTTTTTTATCCAATCTGATTTTGCATCAACTTTGCGTGAAAATGTGCATACTTTTTATGAAAATAATAGCAAAGAAGCAAAAAATTTTAATGATTTGGGGATGAAATGTTCTTTGAAAAGTTTCATGAGATTCAAAGTACACTTTTGTCATGCCATGGTATTCTAATACTTATATAAGAACCTTTTGTGGTTTTCAGGCTCTAGCAACAATCTAATTTCAAAGAAATATATAAACTCGAAACAGTAACTAAACACGTTTTCTCAAAGTTTACTTAAACGAAACTGGAAGTAAATCATGATTGCAGAATGAGAAATACTAGTTATATCCCTTCACTCTGAATCTTACCTCATCTTTGCATCTTTAAGCTTGCAGCGAAAGAATGCAGTGTTGAGCATGTTACTTAAAAAAAGTAATTAGTTATAGTTACTAGTTACTTCTCACAAATAGTAACTGAGTTAGTAACTGAGTTACATCATTATAAAAGTAACTAATTACCAAAGAAAGTAACTATTGCGTTACTTAAAAAAAAAAAAAAAATCAAATAGGCCTATGTCAAATAATTTGGATGCCCCCAGTATTAAATATGTTAAATTAATGAAATGGACACTTAATAGTGTAGATTAGTGTTCAATGTTTTATAATAATAATTTATACTATTTTAATGTTGCTGTGGGACAATGTGAGAGACGCCTATTAAATTCAATATATTATTCTAAATATTAGCATTACTATAGTAGAACAATAAAACATTATAGATGGTTTACTTAATATCGCACAGACCCCAACTGGCCAACAAATAAGTTTAAAAATAAATTATGCTTCTTAAGAAATGTACCAAAAATGAATAAATAATAATAAAAAATATGCATACTCTTTGTGCATATTAAAATGATAAAACTGTTACACAACTTCACAACTAGTAGACTGTAGCCTGAGTATTTTCTTCCTAACAAAAGTAAACAGTTTAACAAGTGCTCTCTTAATATAATACTGAACAATTTACCAAAAAAAAAATATATATAATACTAAAATATAATATTTTGGGGGTTTATTTTTATAATAGCGAACGTCATCATCAGAGATTATTTAAGCCAAATTCTAGACATGTTTGCCGCACGTGTTTACAACCGGTCAAACAAATATGTTTTCTGTGAATGTTCCCTGCAGGTTATTTTCGGGTTTATTTTATAACCTAAACAGAACGTTACCTGACGGTAATTTTTTAGATTTTACTTGTATAACCCTGTAAATTAATTAACGTTGCAGATATGTGTCATTTATTTATAAACAAACTATATAATGCTCGGAGTCGGACACCCTCGGTCTCTCTTGCGCAACTGTTGAGCGCGCTCTCGGACACATTCGGTCTCTCTCGCGCATTGAGCGCGCTCGCGCCAATCGCTTCGCTTTTGTCCACTCCGGCGCCTCATAAACACACACACACACACACACACACCAGAGAAAAAAACTTTGCAGGTCCTATGGCGGAGAGAGAGCCTACTCGGATGAAAGCCGCTTCAGTGAGTTCAATTATAGTAACGCCACATTTTTTTTGTCAGTAACGGTAACTGCGTTGTAACGGGGGAAACAGTAATTCGTTTGATTACTCGTTACTGAAAAAGATAACGCCGTTAGTAACGCCGTTTATTTATAACGCCGTTATTCCCATCACTGAAAGAATGTAAGGATCACGATACTACCAGGAAATGTATTAAGACAAAAGATGTGGTTTTGGCGAAGAAGCCAGCATGGAGTCATAGGGTGGTTGCAGTATTTTAGAGAGTATGTGGTGTACTGAACTGGGGGTGTAAGATTCATAAAGAGATTCAATGCAGAGGATTTTTCTAAAGCCAAAGCATTATATTTCATAATTCAATAAGGGACACTATGACAGATAACGTCATACATTGTATGTATTTTTCCTGTGTGTTTTCTATAAATTGTCTATTATGCAATTTTAAATAAATGTCCTTACTAAAAAAAAAAACAATTTGAATCTGTTTTTAAAATAGAAATTCATCGTAAGTTATATTAATACACTACCATTCAAAAAGTTTGTGGTCATTAGTATTTTGTGAAAGAGGTTTATGAAAAAAATCTCTATATTCCCCTAGCCTGCATTTATTTGATCAAAGTAAACACAGTAAACAGTAATATTGTGAAATATTATTACAATTTAAAATAAATATTTTATTTATTTTATAAAATATAAAAATATATTTTAAAATGTGATTTATTTCTGTGATGCAAAGCTGCATTTTCAGCATCATTACTGCAATCTTCAGTGTCACATGATCCTTCATAAATAATTATAATATGCAGTCTTGAAAACAGTTGTGCTGCTTCATATTTTTTGTTGAAACATTTATACATTTTTTCAGGATTCTCTAATGAATAGAAAGTTCAAAAGAACAGCTTTTATTTGAAATATAAATATTTTGTGACTTGTGTGAATCTTTTGTGTTTTTACTGTCACTTTTGATCAATTTAATTTGTTCTCTCTGGATAAGAGTATTCAATTCTTTAATAAAAAATCTTACCGACCCTAAATGTGAATGTTAGTGTACCTACTGTATATAATCCGTACTGTTCAGGAATACAAGACAGCTACACTTCACCTAATTATTATGTGTATGATACAATATCTTTTAGTCAACATATCATTGAGAGATTGATCTAAAATGTTTTGCAGGACATTAATGATTGTTTGGCTTTTAATCAGTATTCTGATCGTGAAAACTAGTTTTGCATTATACCAAAGGTTTGTTCTGACTTGATGCCTCAGTTGGTTGGTTGCTACACTTCCTGCTATTTCCCAAACCAGTGGAATTAAAAACAAACATACAGGTGTTTTCCCCATGTCACATCTTTCCACTTGGCAGCTGTTTTTCTTTGTGTTGTTACAGTATTTCTTTGTTTTACTGGCAGATTCCCTCCCTTTACTGAATCACTGAATCAAATCTTTTTTTTTTAAATTACTTTGGTATGTTACTTGGAACCATTTACCCTTCAATTCAAACAAGTCATTATTATTCTTAAATAATCAAGTCAAGTGATCTAGATAAACACCTGATACTTGAAAACTTTAAGATGGTGACTTCACTTGTATACTCTAAAGGCAAGGATGTAACAAAGTTAGATTGCTTTGCTACATTTGATCATAACCGTATCACGTGTCTTTTTTAAGTATCGTCGATAATGTGAACCGAAACACAGGTGAGGAGTGAACCATCCTCATGAAAATGTCCCTCCCCACTGTGACCCAAACTCATCTGACAAGCTTTGTTATTTAATCCCTCCTTTTCTGCCATTGAAACGCAGAGTGACTCCCAACTCAGGTGTGAGCACGGTTGGGGGAGGGCAACATGTGATCCACCTAAACCTGTCTAAACTAGTCTGAGAAACAAATGCTCGAAGCTCTTCTGGGAAAAATACTGGGGGACTAGAACTGAAAGCAAGGGAGTGCCAGCCCAGCTTTTGTGTGAAGATATCTCTTAAAAAAACAAGTCAGATTTTTTCTTTTGCCACTCGTCGTGCAGCAACCTCTTGCGCAAGGTGTTTGCTATTCTTGTGCAAATTAGTAATGTGTGATTTCTACTAAGCAAGTGTGGGAATGTTTTTCATTAATACATTGGTCATTCATTAATGTGCCTGTTAAAGCCTGACAGACTTTTCTACCAAAAACAGAATTTGAGGAAACGCTGTTTCCTGGTTTGTTGGGAGAGGTTGAGTCAGAAATTTGCATTAATCACACCACAATGATGTAGGAACTTTGTGGCCTGAAACATGAGCAACAGGTCTAACCAGTTTTTCAAAAAAGCTCAATGCACAGCTCTCACAGGTTTAATTATTAGTCCAAGTGAATGGTCAGCAGCTTTGAGTTATAAAACAGCCCCTTTGTCCTAAATTCTGAAAGAAAATAACCCTTGTACAAATGCACAGGTTTAAGAGTTGTACACACTTCAGGCCATGGATCATTAAAACTTGCATTTTACACCTTATTTACTTTAAGAGCAAGCACTGCCAATTGCAAACTGAATGAATCTCATTTCTAGCTACTTTAATTTTTCAAAAATTCATTATGCTGCTTGATATTGCAAACTGGTATTTTGTGTTACACTTATTGTAATTCTAAAAACATTGGTTTGTAGCATAAATGGTGCACTTTGATATTCATCTATAGCCTATGCATTAGGGAGTCTCAGTCTCAGCAGTGGATTAATTTCCCAAACCAAACAGTGTAAAGTCTGCTCTAGCTAAAACTAGCCTTTTAAACAAATTGTATTGACTTTGAATAAGGTTTACTTCTGTGATGAATCTCATGAAAAACAGGTGCAGCTTCAGCCCTGGGCTAAAAAGGACAATCAAATCCCTTACTTACAAAAAAAAAAGCAAAGAATTGTTTTGCAGTAGGACTGTTCTTTTCATTAAAGCCAATACATCTTCAGTTAAAAGGTTGATTTACTATTTAAATTAGCATATGGCAGATTAAATTAAGAATACAGTAGATTTAAAAAAGAAAAAACAGCATGACATTTAACAAATTTTATTAAAAACTTACAAGTCACACAAACTGTACAATGTTAAAATGTTGATCCAATGAAAATGAGCCCTCATTAAATAGCAAAACGTAACAGAAATATTGCTTAAAAACAACTGTAGCCAGCATGTAACAGACACAAGTTTCCCAATATGAAAGTGTCACATGCAATGCACACAACAGTTCTATGCTTCAGCATGGGGCACGTCCCAGTGTCATTTTCAAGTACATGGGACATCATTAATTGCTTTAAGACATGGTCTCCATCTCTCTGGGCTGCAAGAACAGAAGGAAATGTGTTAAAAACAGAAGCTTGCTCCCTTTTTGAAAAAAAAAAAAAAGTTTGGATAAAGTAAATGAGAACTAACCTGTGCTTTTGAGTACCGGGCCTTCTGCCGCCGTCCAAGAAAGTACTAAAATAAGAGGAACAGTTAGACGACAAGTATACACGCACATATACTTCATTCAGAAGTGAATCTACATACACACTTACCAGAACAAGAAGTCCTGCAAGCACAACCACTGCGACCACCACGATGACAGCAATGATGCCACCGGTCAACTTCTGCATGGTGAAGGTAGGGGCCTTTTCGTCTACATAGTAGACCAGGATACTCTCCATGGACACCTTTGATCCCTCAACACTGACCTCAAATGGTTGTTCGTTTTTAAACAGGGGCAGAACTTTGATCTATGGAAGACAGACGAATTTCACACAAGTTACAAAATATAAAACAAGGCATTAAAATTACAAGAAAAGTCACAAGGAGTCTTACATCCTTCTCCATGTAGTAAGTCATGAGGGACAGGTCTGGAGTTGGTTGTCCAACCGTCTTTTTGACATCCACAATAAGCAGACGGCCATCTTTATCATACTGGAGATGGGGGGGGGGGGGGGGGGGGGGATTAGGTTCTGTACCACAAGCAGAAAAGTTGAGGGCTTGCTTTACAATGCCAATGTCTTACCTGAACATCAGACACATGCGTTTTATCCAAATTGTAACGCTGCAGCAAAGCATTCTCAATCCCACTGTAAAAAAAAAAAGTAACAAATTAGCAAAAAACACTTCAATAGCAGGTCCTAATAGTCCACGATCTAGCAAAGCCCTAGAAATCCATTGTAACATACGTCTTCAGTTTGCCGGCATCAAGAGTTACACCTGGTGCAGCTTTATGCTTCAATTCCAGGCGAACCCAACTACAGGAGAAAAAATAAAAAAAAAGGCATTGTCAGACTATCAAATTTTGCTTCCTTCCACAAACAGTAGTACAATACAGACCACACCTCATACTGGGTGTGTCACTCAGAAAAGTGTCCTGGTTACATGCTTAAGTGCACTCACTATGTCTCCACAGGCTCACACTTGATGTTCTTGTCTCCTTTGTCACTTCTACGTACACCAGCACTGTTCACACACCAGCACACATCAGTTTTGTTACACTGGACAGCCTTGAACTTCCCGTTGTCCTCACACTCTGGGTCATAGATGCCATCATTGTCCACAAAGGCGGTCTCTACTGGCTTCCCACCAATTGATCTTGTGGTCAAGTTTTTCCTGGCACGATACATCTCCCCTTTCATGAGGAAGCACTTGGGAATCACTGAGGGGAGATAGAGAAAAATTGAAAAAGCACTTACTACACTTAATGAGAAAAGACGATTAAACCTTCCTGGTTTGTCTCAGCTAGGCAAGTTGGTGCTTAACAGGTTTTGGAAACTCCACCTAGATTAACCAAGCCAGCAAACTAGGCTGTTATACATTTTTAATGTAGCCCAGGTTAAACCCTAAAGTACAGATGTCAAAAACTACCCCTAAAACATCAGTTCATTAAATAAATCGAGGAAAACTCACACTTTGTACAATCAAGCTTTTGCTTGTAATCGTCAGCAAACTGAAGGGTGCACTGGCATGGTTCTCCATCACATACCGCCCATTTCATATTGTCACAAGCACCTGTTGGATTAAAAATAAATATAAGTATAGAGTTTGTTTAAACAGAAAACTTGTTGGTAAACAGGATTAAGTTTAAAAACGTATATAACCCCAGGCAAGTAGAGTTTGCCCCCCTCCCCCATACTGAACCACACCCAGGATCTCTTTGTATTGTTTGCCTTCTAACTACCAAGTTGATGACAAGGATTGAACTATTTGGAACAATTTAACCCGATTTGAATTACTTTGTAATGTAGGCTACATTTAAAACTTTATATATACATAGCCTATATATATATATATATTTTAAAAAAAAAAGTTACTTACATTGTGAGGCGACCATATCCACAAATACCACAACAAACAAGGCAATTAAAACCTTCATCGTGGGTAAGAACTGAAAAACAAACACCAACAGTACCGGAATTATAAATCACTCCGTTCGAGGAACTTATGCGTACTAAGGCCTATGTTAATATCCAAATGCGCAATTCAGATATTCTTTCGTTAATAAAACGCTGAAGTCTTCTTACCCAAAAAAGCTCGGCTAGTTTTGAAAAGAGAACAAAATCCAACCAAAATGAGTTATTCCGCTTGATAGACTGTACTCTTGAGCTTTATAAAGAATAGATCCAACAGATATCCACTCTCTCTCTCTACCCCGCCAAACGACTGATGTTAACACGCAACAGGTGACTAATTATGTATACCTGGTTAAGTGAAGACGTCAGGCGGAAGTGGGCGGGACTAACTCTTAACACACTCACCTCGTCCCGCCCTTGACCATATCTGGCAATTTGACGCATCGAGATTGAACGCAAAACGTCATCTCTCCATTTTGGAAATGTAAAGCGTCAACAAAGATTTTCGGTTGAAACTCGACACATGCAAACTCTGATACCTATCAAGTGAAACTGCTAGCCTATGTAGCTGCAAGTTGTAGCCTATATGACAACGGCTACCGGAGTGAAACAAACACAAGGTGACTAACACACCTGCACTTACAGATGTAAGGCAAGGCAGGTTTATTTATATAATTTAAAACGGGCAACTATTTACATACACAATTGTGATTCAAAGTGCATAAAGAGGAAGAGAGATAAATACAAACATGTAGTTATATTGAGTTTTAAAATCATTTAAGACCATACAAATAATGCGTTTTATTAGAATGAATAATAGCCTACTGTCAGCAAGTATTAAGAATAACTTCAATGCTTACATAAGAGCATAGGAGAAAGTGGGAAGTATAACACAATCAGTTTATTTAATTCGACTTTAATTAAATAAGTCACAAATTACTTAAGCTTTCTGAAATCATTATAATACATGACCATTACCCCCCTGAGGTGACAGTAGAACCTGTACAAATATAGAGGATTTACAAGAAAACAAACTATTTTTGTGTAAGAAAGTAATTTTAATTCTAATGATTTGATTTGTGATTATTGTAGTTAATACATTTGGAAAGACAGTAGGCTACTGGTAGCCTATAGCAGCATATTCTCTAGTCTAATGTGATATAATGTATAATACAAACTTTTCATTTACATGTTAAAAAGCTAATAATATCATGCCTAACCAGGCAAGAAGAGCTGTAACCCACAAAAAAATAAAATAAAAATGGGACAGTATAGACTTTTTGACATAATTGGCAAAGTGCTAACATGCTCTCACACATTGTCTGTTATGTTTTTAGAATTGTTAGGATTTTAAAAAAAAATTATTTATTTATTTATTTTATTTTTATTTTATTTTTTATTCATTAAAATGTTTAAAATTACATGAGGTAGGATGTTGGTGATATGGAATGGCATAGGCCTAATAATTATTTTAAAATAGGTACACATTGAATTGCCAAAATAAGTTTACACGCAGCATTTAAAACAGCCATTTTTTGATTAATGTAAACACTTGTAAACACTTGCCAATTAGAATCTGAAAAAGGCAGGAATGACAATCACAACAATATGACAGAGACACAGTGCTGTTAATGGTCACTCAGTGTTGGGACATCAGTGTAAAGTCATTCAAAAAGACATCAACACTCTCTCTGTCTCTCAGAGAATGCAGCGAAAACCAGGTGAACAAGTTTGGACAGAAGTGGCCCAACCCCCAACCACTACTTTCCGAGCATTTCACAATCAGGACATTTTCTGTAAACTATTGCTTAGACTTCTTAGCAATTCTGTGGACACCAAATTTTGGATTGTGTCAAAAATTCATCTTTGTCTTGTTGTAGCCTACGGGTATCACGGCCTCATGAGAAGCACAGCACTGTCAAAGCTGAGAAATTAGTCAAATGGACACACCCTTCCAGACTGATACCCACAACAACATCGAAACTGACGTCATACTCTCTGTATGTAGTGGTATCTTAAACAACATTTCAAGGAAAATTTCATATCATAGATACATCTGGATTTGTGTTTGTCTTGTTGTTATTTGGCTCAAAATGTATATATTTATGTTCATAAGTGTTTTATATAGCTGTGGTCATGTGGATCTGAAACCTTATTTATACAGCTATATGGTTGTAAAACCTTTTCTTAATGTAATGATGTCTAGTCTAAACGAAACAACAATCTGTGAGTCCAATTTAAAGTTGTAGTCAGCCTATTTATCACACTCTTTATATATATATATATATATATATATATATATATAGAGAAAAAAAGATCTCAAGATGGCAGACATATTGATCTGATCTGCATTGCTTGTGTTGAATGAAAATATGTAATAACTGACAACTGAATGCATAAAAGTCGTTTCTCTTTGTTATTTTTCCAAATCGCCACTTGATGGCGCCCTTATATGTCTTTCTACAATGATACTGTGTCTTGTATTTTTTGTTTACATCCTGATCTACATTTTCAAAAGCAGTTCCAAAGGTATGACTGGATTCTGTAGAAACTCTTATTGAAAGATACTACAGGTCATATATATATATATATACATATATACATATATATTTTTAGTTGTAAGCAATTGTATTTTGCCCATTTTACATCATTTTTTTGTATTTCTCTACACCTAAAAACAACAAGCCAACAAGGTCTAATCCATGAGAATACAACCATCTTAGAGTTACTGAATAAAGCTAAATCATCTCTATAATTACTTAGGTTTCTCAAACTTTATTAAACATTATACATTTAAAATACGTGTGCTCATATACAAAGTTCAAAAGCAATTATTTGTTACAGCTTCTATTTTTTTCTAGTCAGCTTTAGCTGAAGATATGATGAACCAGTTAACTTAAGAAACTGCTGAGAAATTGTATCCTTTTGTACTTTATATATTACTTAATATATATTATATTATAAATGACTTATATATATATATATATATATATATATCTGTGTGTGTGTAATAACTTATGATACATAAATATACAATTTCTCAGCAGTTTCTTAAGTTAACCCGTTCATATTCGTAAACAGGTCATGGAAACAATAGGCCTAATAATGCACTAAAAACATCGAACTACTGTATATATTTAACAATCTTTGTCTGAAGAAATAGGCTTATTTAACAACCAAAACGCAAATAAATGACAATCTACTCACCTGAACTTCACAAATATCTAGTAGGATAGAATCAACTCTGTCTCAAAAACGTTTTAATTTAAATGAACACAGATGTTGGCTGCAACTTCCTATAGCTAAGCTGTTCTGACCACAGAGGGCATGTGTGGTTTAAAAGTGCCACATCAACATTCTTTTAAATTATTAACTAAATAAAAGCATGATAAAAGGGTTACTTTGCATTACCCTTCGTGTGAGAATTTAACCACGTAAAAATATAAAGTTCAACATATTCCACCAGAAAAACTCAGGAAAAACTCCCAAGCAGAGGTGACCGTTGCAATTCCGAGGGGAGAGCATGCAGGGCACGGACTAATGGTGTGTTCACACCATAGACTGTAAAAAAAAAAAGTTCACACCGAACGCGAATAGAGCGTCAAATTCGCGTCTAGTTCCAGCAGTGTAGCCAGAAAATCATATCTGGGTGTGCATAAGAAAAACTGGGTGTGCCACATTCATTTATTGTCAGATTAATATGCAACAAAAAACCTGACCCGGCATATCACTAACTTTACAGAATAGACTGGGCTGAAGTGTAAGACTACTCAGGCTCGCCACATAATACTAGGCCTATATAGCACCTACAATATAACTCAGGGCTCAACATTAAGGCTTTTCATGTGCTTGTCCTTCGAACAAGTAAATCGGTCATTCACTTGTCCAAGTTAAAAAAATGCTTATACAGAAATTTTTTTTTTGTGTGTGTTGTAAATTATAATTTATTCTGAAGCAATATTCTCATCAGTGTTCAGTCAGCTTTTACATATTTAAATCTGCATATGTATAATTTTTTTTTTTTTTTTTTTATATGTATGAGCATTTTTCCCTAATCGTTTTAAATAGGCTATATGTTTCATCTTTCATTTTAAATTCTTTAATTTGATCAACAAATTCAATTGGAATAACAAGACACTATATGGCTGTTGCAATCAAATTAATTAATTTACACTAAACAATTACAACTGCATTAAATAATGTTATGAGATTGTTGTAAATATTTTTTTAATATACAAATATGAAATATGGAAAAGAATGATAGCCTTTTAAACACAAAACTAAACCACCAGTAGGGGGCGGCAGGTGACCGTCTTAATGAGTGAGTTATTGAGTCATTTATTCAAATGATTCGTTCAAACGACTGAATTGTTCAGGAATGAGGCAGTTGTTTAATGCATAGACATCATATGATGTCTATGGTTTAATGGGCCATTGAATCTTTGATCTAACCGATTCGGTTAAAGCGTTGAATCATTCAGTAATGCGGTTATGTGTTCCGATGATATGCGCTGTGGTTCTAGCCTCGTGAGACCATCCTGATCTCGCGAGCTTTCAAGGTTTCACTCGCAGATCAGTCTGGATACTTTCCGTTAAAGAAAATTTGGGAGCAGTTCACCAAACGAACGTCCAATCAGCGTTGGCTTTGAGGCGGGTTGAGGTGTGACGCAACGAGAAGCGCGTCAGTTCAGTCTAAAGAACATGTCGGCTTCAGCGGATGAAATAGCATCAGCGTGGCTATCGAGCAAGTTTTATCGGAATTACAGAGTATTTCTTCACTGAAAGAAGAGCAAAACACTGCTCTGGAGGCTTTTCTCAGAGGAAAAGATACGCTCTGTTAGTACGTCATATGCTTCGTTGATCTGATTGGTTGATTTGGCCCGTCTATCACCAACATAGGCCAATCAGCTAACCAGTATTTTCGCCCCTTACCAAAACTACTTCAACGGAAGGTTTCCAGATGGATATGCGGAGCAAATCCATCTGGCGGAGTCAGGTTACTGTGGTTCTGCTGTGATCTTTGATTGGAACTATTTTCGCTGCTCAAAGAGAACAAAAATATTATTGTCTAAAATGTAATTGACTTGATACTTTTTTATTGAACTGTCATATGAAATCAGTGTCACATTTTCAATCTTGATGGTATTCAGCACTCGTGGTCGTGTGATGTCGCTTAATGTATCATATTATAGCCTAAATATAAAAAAACTCCACATTACATACATTTTTTTTAACCAATGTATGTTCATTAAGTTTCTTTGTGTGTGAACTGCGCTCATTTGTTT